ACACACACACACACACACACACACACACACACACACACACACACACACACACACACACACACACACACACAGACAGAAGCATAGTTTAGCCCCACTGTGTCTGGTGATGTGGATCCCTCACCACCACTAACTGTAGCATGTTTAATTAGACCACCGCACAGAAATGCATGTATTGTCTTACAAACACAGCGTTTCCCACAAACACACCAGACTACGCAGCGTCTCACAATAGCAACACCACCACCAACAACACTGAATTAAATCTGAAGCCCAGCACCAGCAGCATTTCTCTCACACAGATGCCGATAGAGGAATTATTCCATGGTTCGTTTAGTTGGAAGAAAATAGAGATAAAAGCCACTCTGGAAGGTGCTGCTGCGCTGAAATTCGCGGAACATCTTTGTAATTGCACACAATCGTAAACTTACCCGCTGTGACCAGAGAGACGCCGAGAGAGCTCAGGACGAGCAGGAAAATTCTCTCCATGTTTCTAACGCCAAGAGGACGCGCGGTCCCATGCACTCTGGCCAGGGGAGCCGTGTTAACCGCCGCGTTGTGCTGCTTGGCATTCACGTCAGTTCGTGCGTGTCATCTCGACTGGAAAGGCGACAACGGCGCTCTGTCCGCGGGCTTTTCAGCACCTCGGACAGCGCTTCGGCAACACCTCCGCTCACTCGGCACCCTCCAACCTCAGACCAGCAACCTGCAAACAGCAGGTGAGCTTCATCATCGATGCGTCGTCGATCCTCCAACTGTGCTCCCAAATCCTCTCAGATCTGCTTCTGCTGCTGCTGCTGGTGGTGGTGCTCAGCACCGCTCAGCTGCTGCAGACACAGTGAAACGTGCTGGCTTTGTATATGAGCGCCTGGACTGTCCCTGCCCGCCACACTGACTCCAGCGAGAGAGAGCGAGGCTGCAACCCCCCCAAGGACCCCCCGGCTGCGACAATAACAGCGAAAAAGTCAAGAAATGTCCAAAAACTACAGTTCAGCTTTGATGTTTTTCTGTAACACTCACTCACCGCTTCTCCTCCTTATGACATTAAAAATAATAAACACCCGCCTTCTTCCACCCCCAGTAACCCACCCTCCACGCCTCAGAGCCCAGCAGCAACACCACGCTTTAAAGACCGACTTCTCCCAGGCCTCCGAGAGCGAGCACAGCTGATCGACTTGTCACCAAAAGCCTCTCCTCTCTCTCATCCACAGCTTCAGTTGCCCACTCCTGCACTGTGAATTACTGCTGCCCACTCATCGATTAAATATGCATCCACTGGCCCACGCAAACAGTTGCAAAGACAAAGTCTCAGCGGAGCCGCTTTGAATCCTTTCCCCACCACTTCAAAAACAAACACGTGCCTCTCGACTTTACCACTGAGTTGACATCCTCACCACCATTACCTCCGCCACCGCCTCCACTCCCTCCCGTATTCGGCTCACGTTGTTTCAAAGCGAGCAGAGAAGTGGAAAAAAGTCTGCATAATTACCTCAGATGTTTTCCCCTGCAGCGCGATGTGGACTTGAAGCTTTCCGGGATGTTAGTTTGCGTGCGTGGAGGGGAGGGGAGTGTCAGTCCCGAGTCAGGAGACCGGCACTGTCCCCTAGCTGTGTCCCCAAGAAATGTTTTCTTTACCCCGCTGTGCACCTCGATTCATAGCCCGCTTCCTCTGACGTGCTTCACAGCAACACTGCTGGTGGTGGTGGTGGAGGTGGAGGGGTTATTGTGCTGCTTTTTATGCATGCTTCACTCCTGTAGGCTACTGCTCTCCCCCTCCATCTAATATGTGAGTGAGAGAGAGGAAGAGAGTTTGTAAGGAGACAGGGGAAATATAGGCTCCATCCTCACCAGCATAATGTATCTGCACAGCATGTGGTGGAAGAGGTATTCACATTTCTCAAATACACCGAAAACACTCCAGAGCAAGTAGAAGTACTGCGTTAAACGTGCTACTAAAACTGCTCTTTAATATATGAAAGCTCACAAGTATCAATCAAATCATTCCTCCTGTTTGGCTGTCAGCAGCGACTCTGCTTTTGGTTTTGGTTAACTCTCATCACCTTCAAGCTTTCAGATTTGACCATGCACATCAAGAAATTATCCTCAGGTCAAGACAAAAAAAGAAAAGAAAGACAGCCTTAGGACAGATGCATCCGTCATGTTTGGAACTGAAGAAAACAATGCCACTCTGCTAACAGCATAAGTATTAGAAGTGGTATTAATTGTGCCATGTAGAGCTTGGTAGTGGGTCCATGCAGAGCACCACCCCTGACACCCTGATGTTTTTCCTTTTCAGTCTGAATGTGTTGCATTTGCATTGCTTTCATGCAAAAGTGGCGTTTTAAGGAAAAAAAAAGGTATAAATCTACTTTAACTGCAGACAGATGCAGCTAACAGCTTGTGAACACAGCATGTTCTCATTTAGCGGTTTAGAAGTCAGATTTTTTCCCCCTCAGAAGCTGGTGGAGACTTTCCCTCAGTATTGTTGCTGGTGACAATATTCAGAGTAAAAATATTAATTATGCAGAACTATAGATGGTGTAAAAGACCGATGTAGCTTCTGGGCCTAAAAGTGAAGCTGGCGTTTTGAAGCCGCATTCTTTTAAAGGACACCTGTGACAGCAAAAAGACTTCTGGTCCTCTAAAAATCTTAGTGAAAATGACCCTCAGCCCTGACCTCTGTAAACACTTTCCTAATGAGTTTATGGTCTTAGTCACTTATTTCTGACCACCTCCTCCTCAGCACCTCCTTCAGCTCTTCTGGGGAGACACTGTGACATCCCTAAACCAGCTGCGTCTGACCTGGGACCTCCTCCAACTGGATGAGCCTGAAGCACTTCTGTGGGTCATAATGAATGTTCCCATCTTCTGGCAAAGGTACATCACTGGGAACTAATTGTTTCATGGCTCTCACAATATCACATTTCCATTTATTATCAGGGCTAAAAATAATAACCTATCCATTATGCATGCATAGAAAAATAATCTTGAACTTTTTCTCTTTGCTTGCAAATTAATTACACTTTATTTTTTCATATATTATGGTTGCCATCAATATCTGGATGCTCCCATACCATTCATTCTGCTAAAGTAAGCAGTAATGAAAGCTGTCATTTCTCCTCTAATGCAGAGATATAAGGTGGCAGCAAACAGAAATGGGCTTCAGCTTTTCACAACCTCCGGAACCAGTTTTGGACATGCTCCAGTCCTCCCATTTGGAGGTCAGAAAATTAACCACTCTGCACTGACAGCTTCTGATCGATCAAAATTAACAGAGCAACATTTGGCTCTAACAGTTTTTCATCAGACTCACTCAGATTAAGACACTGTTGTGGCAAATATGTCACATGACCTGAAATGGTTTATTTGGCAAGCAGCAGCAGAGGGGAAACAAAGCAGGTCAGGTGGTTTTGTGCTTGTTCTTCTCATTTCTAGAAGATAAAATATCACCAAAGTTACATGTGTTCAGTTTTTTTAATTGTGAAAAAGTTGGTAAGATTCAAAAAGGCCACTGGCTGTAAGTTTGGGGTTTACAGAGACATGCTCAGGCCACTGAATTGGGGTCAAACTGAAGCGTGAAAGGATCCCTCAGGGCAAAGACATGTCCTAACTGAAAGAGGACTCGGAGAAAGGAAGACACACTATGAACCAGAAGCACAAATTGGATGACAGGGGAATTTTTCCACCTGGACACAGTACTATTTATAAAGTATTATAGCCCAGCAAACATAGCTAAAGCAACAACGTTACCTCCTGCTTTACGAAGGCAAAAACTGAACTGCTTATGGATGGATGTACAAGTCCATCAAGTCTAACAAGGTCATCCAGGTGATGCCAAAGACAGACTTTTATTTTGAAACAATTTTTCAAACAAACAAAGGTTCAGCTGACGGCTACTTGGTGCTGAAATGTTTTCTGGGATGTTTCTGTGTTAAAGTGATTTCTAACCCAATTTAAGTTGTTTTTTTGCGTGTAGTTGTTTGTTCTTTGTGTTTACTCACCCCATGTCCTTTTTCAGGTCCAGCCCACTGTCTGATTACCTGCTCTGTCCTAATCTGCTCCACCTGTGTCCAATTGCTGGGTGGAGCCTCTCTCTGTTGAGAATCTTGGTTTTTGCCACTACTTGCAAAACTGGCCTGAACTCTGCTTTACCTGAAGTTTGAGTAAAGTTTGCCAGCTTTCACTTGAGGCCTGTCCTGTGAAACAGGATTTTATCTTATCCAGGTAACTCCAGGTTTAATCTCAGGTTTTCAGTACTACAGAGGTGGATCACTTCTTGCTGGGGTAGATGACCGCAAATGTTCTAGGTTGGAGGTCAACAGGTTTAAAACCACCACCTGTTGATGGATCAGCCAGTCATTGTTGGAAGCATGTGAAGTCTTTGTTTTTTTCCCAAATGAGCCACAACTTTATTCCCTGAGTTTTTCCCCTCACATTGGCTGCAAACCATTTTTTTTTCAAAACAGTTTTATTGTTCAGTAAGCATTAATATATCCCTTAACATCATCTTTGATGCATGTTTTTCTACATGATCACTGTTGCTTTTTCTCCCTGAAAACCCCAATTAATTGCACAATATAATTTAAAGCAATAAATTGCAAAATAAATACAATAAAATGAAAAAAAAGTCAACTGTAGCAAAAATGATCCAGAAGGCGTCAGAAGGTTCAATAAGAACTAAATTTTCAAATAATGTAAATTTTCTGCTAATTATTTGGTGGTTCAGACTTTAAGGGTTAAGACTGTAAAACAGGTCACCTGTTTATACCATAATGATAGGACACCTCAGTAGTAGCACAGGCCTCAGGTGTCCAGAGTCATGTCTTTGATGCACTTCGTTGTGTAATAATACTGGATGGTTATATAAGCCTGCAAGCATGTGAAACGCACACAAACATGACTTTCTGGCTGATGACAGAAAATGTGCTGCTTAATGGAGCACACATAACGCACACACAGCTAAGGCAAACTGACTTAATGAATCTGAAGGCCAGGCAGCACGTTGACTGTACTGTCAACAGTTTCCACAACCCCGGGAACTCCCAGGGATCTCTGAAAGTCTTGGCCCAACAAACCATTAATAGTCTTTATATTCAGCACTCAGCAAACACACAAAGGACTCAGCCCAGGCGGGTAATTTGCTCCTGGAAATTGGCCTCGCTGATACCTTACAGTCTTCGACATTAAACGCAGATCAAGCAGAAAATCAGCAATAAATCTGACGTCTTTATGGACATTGTAGTTCATCTTTGCTACCGTGAGCTTCAGCCCAGTGGAGGGAGACGTTGTTTATCTGTGTGTGTGCGTGTTTGTGTTTGGTCAGGGGGAAAGGATTTGCTTGGTCTCTGTAATCATTTTTCAAAATGGAGAGCAGGGGGCATGAAGTGGAACGCTGGTATGAAGTTATAGAGGTTATGCACAGCTTATCCAGCTCTTTGATGTGTCCCATCCCCCAACGCTGATTTTACGACGGTCAGTGCCTAACGCGAGTCTCCTGCTTATATAAGAATAAAAATAATGGTCTCAAACAAGTTAGCTAGACTTTACTGACAGTGATGTAAAGTATTTCAAATGACCCAAAGATTCAAGCGATAAAGAGATTAGAGCAAAACTTTGTACCTACATATATAATTAAGAATAGAATAGAAGATCCAGATGCAACAGGCTCTTTAAAGCAGGCACAGGTGAAGTAAATGGTTTGTAATCATGAATAAAACTCACCAAGAGTTATCAAAGGTTCCTGGCGGTTGGGGTCTTGGGACTAAAAGCAGTGTTTTTTCCTGAAGTTAGTGAGAACTATGTGACTGCAAAGGTAACTGCAAAGCGTGTGACGAGGTTTAGTGATTCGTCCCAACGGACACATTAATTATGCAGCGGGTAATGATTGGGCCGAAGGACTGCAACATGGCACTTTCCCTGTTTTATCGACCACTCAAAGCTCGAGGAACATTATTTACTTCAAAATCAGTACCAGTGACCCAACAAGCATGCAGGTTCATCACCCTAACTCCGCCCTGAAGGCCACTACCCTGCAGGGGCCTCTTTACTCTTCAGGCTGGTGTTTTATGGGGACAATTTAATGAAGGTGTCAGCTGAGGACCTGTTAGGTGGCAGTTTTTGTAATCTAGAGACTCTGTTCAGTGCCATAATATCCCAGTAATGGACTTTGCCCTCAGACTGCAGGCTTACTTGTGAGATTTTCCAAAAGCAGCAAGGGAG